CTCACATATATACATGGGCTAATCCAGAGATATGAACAAATATATGTTAGTGGTATGATAAATGTTATAGAAATGATATGATGTTGTGTGTGTATAGTGTTTGATTGAAAAGGTTAACCATAAAAGTATGTGATTACATGATAGACTGTTAATGATGAATTATGTGTATGTATGTATTTACTGTAATTAATCTGATATGATTTTATATGATACGAAGAATGCATGGAATTGGTATAACATGATAGAACAGAACTTGCATGTATTGATATATGTTATAAAGTGCATTATAAGTTGTTATGCCTCACTAAGTCTTCGACTTAGCGTGTGATTGTTTCACACGTAGGTTTCGAGAAGAGTAAAGAGTAATGCGGAGCAAGACATGTCAGTTTTCCTTACCAAATGTCAGATCAGAAAATATAGGTACTGTATATAGAGTGTAGTTGGCATGTAGTCTAAATATATAAATTGTATGAACTCTGATATATTTTGTAAACGTTTTGAATAAGTTAAATGTTATCAAAGTTTTTTTTAAAATTACTCACTATTTTATACGAATAAATGTTTGAAAAGTCAATGTGACACTTCGGACTCGGATACGAGTTGGGGGTGTTACAGATCCAAAGTAATTTGGATACCAAAATCTACTTAAATGTCTCTTGTAGGTGTGTGGAAGCAATTGTGATGAAAATGATGATATTCAAGATGCTCTAGCCACACATGAAAAGGAATGGGTAACCTCTAAGCTTAATGTTTTTAATTTTAGTTATTTGGTTGCTCATTTGATTTTAAGCATGCATGAGTTTTGTTTTTAAATAATTATACATTATTGTTTTAATCTCATGTATGTTAAAAAGGTTTTATGATGAACATTTTAAAGTTTTAATGATTTTTTTTAATTTTTAGTTCATCATAAGGAATTTTGGTCAAAATTGGTTTTAATGCAAATTATATATCTCTAACAATTGATATCAACTTTTCAAATGTTTTGATTTTATAAATTTTAAAATTTTTGACCTAAAATTAAATGTTTATGCATGTGGGTTAAATGAAAATGATATCTCTCTAACAATTGATATCAAAATTTTCAAATGCATAACATTTTTTGGAAAACTTTATGTATATGCACTTAATTTCAATAATTAATATTGCATAAAGTATTTTAGACTTGGATGTATTAAATTTCTTGTGCTACTAACATGTTTGTTATTCTTTGTTGAAATTAAATTTTGTTTAAGTGTCAATATCCTAAAAGCATAATTTTATTTGGAATGCATTTATTGAGGGGGAGCTGTGATTTTTCAAATGATTTTTAAAATGTCAAATTTACTACTTACTCTCCAAAGTTATTTTGAACTTTAAAGATTAGAGTCTTTTTGATTTAACAAAAAGGGGAAGAAGTGTTAAGGTGTTAAAGGGGAGAAGTGTTAAAGTAAGGGGGAGTAATTTCAAACTTGATTTCAAAATCTTAAAATTACTCAAATGTTGTTATATCAAAAAGGGGGAGATTGTTGAAAACATTTTGATGTTTCGATATAACAAATTAAGTTAAATGAATTTTAAGATTTTACTAAAGATTTTCTAAGTATATTCGATGTAATTATTCGAATATCAAAATATTACTCCAAGTATTTCAAAGTTCATTTTAATCCTTACTAAAGTGTAAAATTGTGTTTTATATTAAACTATTTTTAAAACAATTTTACAAAGTATTTCGAACCGTTTCAAAGCCAAGAAAAATCAGATTGTCCAGGAGGTACAGATTCCCCCTGCAGGTTTTTGGCTCCAAGAAAACAGAATGTCCAGGGGTACAGATCCCCCCGGGGTACCGATTCCCCCTGTCTAACGGTCAAAAACAGATTGCACTTAGGGAACCGATTCCCCATGAGGGGGTACCGATTCCCCCCACACTCCAAGCTGTTTTATTAATTGTTTCTCATCCCCAAACGACTCCAAAACATCTCCAACGACTATATACGACTTCAAACACATTCCAAGCTATAAATACAAGCTAAGGACACTTGAAGAAGCAAGAGAACAACTATCCAAGCAATCAAACACAAGAGAAGAGTTTTTCAATCTTATTTCATCTTTCTCTTGTAAATATTTTGTTCTTGTGAGCTCAATCTTGTAAACACCTACCTTAGAGAGGTTTTATTGTTTACATCTTTTATCCTTTTGTAAAGGGGAAAGGTTCTAGCTTAGCCCGTGTAAAAGCTAGGGAAAGGTTTTACTTTAGCCCGAAAAAACTAGGGAGTTTGTAAGGTTACTCTTTATCCTCAAAAGAAAGAACAAATTAGTGAATTTGTGGAAAATCCTTGATGAGGAGCTAAGGTAGTGGATGTAGACTTTGGTTGAGAAAGTCGAACCACTATAAATCGCTGTGCAATTCTCTATCTTTCAATCTCCTTACTCCCTAAACACAAAACCGTTCCGACCCCTCTTTGCAAATCGTTCTTGTTGTCGATTCGAGCTTCCGAAAATCCTAACAGCTCGAATAACTACGTTTGCAGGGTGTATACATTGTTAATGGTTAAGAAAGATTATAAACAAACATTACATCATAATCACTCTAAACTATTAATAAAAAAGATAATTAATACCACTTAGACATAAGTTCAAATATGATAATGAATAGAAATGAACATATGATTTTATATTAAAAGTGAATTTATAAAATTTAGAAGATTAATCTCATTATCAAGTAAAAATATCTAAAAAAATATCTAAAATATATAAAAAAAAAACATTATAAGAAAACGACCACTTCCATCAGCCCCTCTCAATTCGTCTCTAACCATAAGCAAGATTTAACTCGCCTTAATTTAAGTATTCTATCACTTTGGTGTCTCTTCGTAAAATCTTCCTAACTATGTAAACAACTCAAGAGACGTATTTTCATACCCTTTTAAAAATTGGAGGACAAGATTTCAACCAGTTGTCGGATAGACAACATTTTACAAACTACTCTCGAACTAGTATAACAATCCCTCATGTCGAGAAATGTCCGCCTAGCTGTCTCCTGGCGAATGGGTAGTCACGGCATAACCTTTTTCTCATGTCCATGCCCCATCAACATGGAGGACGGCGAGGGAGCCACGCCGACCTTTCCAGAATATTTTTTGTTAAAACAATAAGTCGAAAAATGAATTGTTTAAAATCAAATTTTAATTTGATGTCAATAAAATTTTATTTAACTATTTTTTATTTAATTACATTTTATAAAAAAATAAAAGAATTATTTAATATTAAAATTAAAAGTTAATATGAATTAAAATCGAATTAATTAACTAATTGATTGTATCAATTCAAATATGTATTGTTAAATCGTAAATTACAATATGACGCAGAATATTTTAAACATAAAATATCCATATGTTTCAAAAAAATTATAATCGAGTGATTTAATTAATTAATTATAATAATTAAGTCACATGCAATATAAAATATAATTGTCTACGATGGTAAATGAATTCAAATTTTGATTAATCATTAGAATTTTGAGATTCTTTTTCAAAAACCACTCTAAAATGTTTAACTTATTTGAACTCTGATATACGTCATCCACCCTTAATAATCTCTATATCGAGACATGTTCTTCCTCTTACCAACGATAATATTTCATTGTTCAGATCCATGAATGGAGCTAATGATCTTCAAGAAGCCCAAAACTTCAATCATCCATAGGTTAAACAAAAAAATATGAAAAAATAGTATCTTTCTAAAATACGATAACCCATTTTTGAACATACTAAAATAGAGTGGGACATGATATAATTTACTCAACAAAAAAGTAATTTAAAATATTTTATTATGTTGACTTTGGACACTCATTTAAGATTTAACGATATAGAATCTATCAAGTAATTTCAGTGATAAAATAAAAGATTATTTTCTCTAAACGTCTTGGGTTCGACTAGTTGCGCCTGCGTGTTGTTAATAGATTAAAAAGGTTATGAATAAATACTAACTTGTAATCAGCTCATACTATTGAAAAAGATTTAATGATATAATGACATGGTTGCTGCGTCTATTAATTAGTTGATTATATTATAACTTTTAAGAATACAAACAATTTATTTATAAACATATCAATAATTGACATTTAGTGTAATTTACCCTTTATAATTTGTCGTTTAAAAGGATTCTCAAAAAGTCAAAAACTTGATTTACTAAATTTTCCAGTTTGGCTGGAAAAGTTGGTTATTTAGCCGAAACAAAGAGACCAAACTCCGTTAATATTTATTTGTTTTGAAAATATGGATCTCAATACGCATCCATCAAAATTAATAATTGTTTTTTATATAAAAAAAAAAGCAAATTCACAACTAACCGAGTGCACAAAACAACCTAAAAAAAACAGGGGGTTCCTTTCAAAGCGGATACAAGATTTTGCCACCCGTAACCGTTCATCAATTACGGGCCTTACGGCGTTTACCAACGAGTCACGGCTTCAGCATGACTCAGTCACGTGCTATGTTTCTCTAATCTCACCAACTCACGGAAAAAGCAAAATAACTCTAATCCAGATTCTTCTAAATTAACGTCACCTCCAGTTGTAGTAACCCTTTTCTTTGATGGTACCAAACTAAAACAAGACTTTATTAGAAAACGACCATGAACCATACCTCAATTACAAGATTGGTCCCCAGCCTAAACTATCAATTTGTTTTCAGGTCCCAAAAACCAAATATCAACTAATCAAATGTCATTTTCTTATCAAATACGACATACCTTTGAATACAGTCGGAGAATATTACAGTTTAGGTTCCATTTTTAGAAAAGAAGTTAACCATTCTGATAACCGAGGCATAGTTTTTAAGGTTCTAACAATGACTTTTTTTCTACAATAATTTGATTCAATTGAGGGACGAAGCTAATATTAAACATCAAGAAAGGTAAAGATTTATTAAGTATTTAAATTTAAAAATTTAGAGGAATAAAAGTTTATTCAACTAATATTTAAACTAACAAAGACCTAAAATAAAAAATTAGAGAGGCTCCTCTCATCCAACAAATTGCTTCCTCCCTCTATATTACAGTGTTCAAACTCTAGAGAGACTACTTGGACCACCAAAATACCATGTAAAATATAGAATAAAATGTTTGTCACCTCTTTCATGCCTATGAACCACCACCATCATCTCGCACCATTGACCTGTCTAAGCTTTCTTTTATTCCATAGCACCAAAAACGAAAACAAGCTAATCGATACCTCCGAGTTATCCAAGGTTCTTGCTTATGTTCAACCACAAAACTTTGGTCTCAAGAAACGAAGACTCCTCCATATATTCATAAAAATACGGAAATAATGTCGTAAGAATCACAATGAATAAAGAATAGAATTTAGTCTGCTACAGCGGGCTCCTCCACCCTTTTTTCTGTTATACCTACCATGTTGCAAAGTGGCTTGGAAGGGAAAACGAAAACATTACATGAATCAATGGAGGGCTGAAATCGAGCAGAGTATCTCACAGTTGTCAATGATATTCTAGGCAACTGTTGCAAACCTGAGACAAGAGGCACTACTTTGTAACAAAGGATGTGCTCCGTTTCTGGAAGAACAAACACCATGTCACTGTGAGACCCAGATAACACAAAACTTTGCGAATCTGCCAATGAAAACTTAACCTCCTGAAGTAAATCGGTTTGGTTACGGATTTTAACATGGTACATGAAGGGATCTCCAAGGATGGCATAAGGAGGACATTCCAAAGTCAGAATAATCGGTGACAACTCTACACGTACCTCGGGGAGTTCGTGTTTAGTTACAACCTTGGAATTGATCACAGTCAAATCAGATCTATCTTCAATTCCACAATGCCTCTTCCATTTTAGATACACTGTCCCCAGTCTAAGCTTCGAGGAATCGAGATTAGGAATAACATAGAAAACTTTCTTGAATTTTTCTCCAGGCACAAGAACCACATTGCCAAGATCTTCATTGCCGTGTTGGATGGAACATGACTTTTCAGCTGCACCATCATCAACTTTAATAGCCATTGATAGTAGCTGCAATGTGACCTCAGAGCAGTTCTTAGCACTAACAACAAGTACAGTTGATTCATGCAGGGGTAGGGATGAAAACTGATTGGAATCAGGGGCCGGCTTGATCTTTGAAAGCAACAAGGAATCCCTGCGGAAAGGCAGCATAAAACGTTGGCTAATTAAAACAGCATCCTTTCCTTCGATTTGCACTGTCTTGTGAACATTGACTTTTTGTGCATTCAACTCAAAAGAAATCGGGGAGTAGCCCAATGAAACAAAAAGCATAATTGGTTTGGGTCAGTGCCACATGATTTCTAGTTTGCATGACCATGATTCTCCAATCTTTAGAAACGGAACAGGAACCAATCCGAAAGATTGTTGAATTTTCATGATTTTATCAGAGCCCATTTGAGATTCATCTTCCCGTTCTGATCCAACAATGCCAAGAAGCTCAACATGGTGAGTATCCAGTGAAAGAGACTCAGATTCCCTAGGACTAAACAGGTCACCTCCTCTCACATCCACAAGATTTATCTTCATTTCACCAGCGTAGACGGCATGGCCCCTGGAGGCTATGGTAACTGGTACCAGAAATCTCTCTCCAACTAATGCAGGGCCAGAAGCACCAAGAATAACATCCACTTGTGGGTCAGGTTCTTCAACCTGAGCAGCCTTCCGGCCAGAGAATGATAGAGCAGGATCTTTTGTGGGGAAAGTTTCTACATGGTTTTCAAACTTCCAAAGAGGTAAATCATCCATTGAAGAGGACTTTCAGCTCTGCAGCAGATCAAGTAGGGTCCCATTTTTGCAATAATAGATATGCATTCAAGCTTTCCACTTTGTTCTGAAAAATTTGAATGTTGTATTAATGAACAGAAGGTGGATAATTTACAGTAGAAGATAATGCATGTGGAAAAAAGACATCAGATCCCATATGATTTTGCCTAAATATAAGAACTATCAGGACCTTAAATTTAAATATGACTTTAGCTTTTGAATCTCTAGGGAGAAATCAAGAATACGCAACCCTTTTGATTGAACTTTGAAGAAAGCAAAATTAGAAGCCCATACAAGAAAAGAGGAAACAAGTTATTGTCAATCTGATGTAACCCTTATTTACTATCTATGGCGCAGCACTAGTGATTTAACATAGTTCTTGGTTGATCAAATCCAAGGTTCATTCGTTGAAAGCTAAAAGGCCACTTACAATCAATAATTTAATAATGTATTAATGACCTTATGTTAGGTCCAAATGTGTAGCTACAATGCTGTAACAAACTCACTGCAAAGTAGTCAGGCTGATATCAAGCAACAGCAAGTAGAAAAACTTATCAGAATTACGGGAGAAATCATTCTCCTCTTATTTGCAAATTTAAGGACTGCCTGGTTGAAATGACTGTTATCAATGTGGATGAGGTCCTAGGTCTTTATTAGATGAACCTAATGCATGGTGAAAACAATAAATGAATAAAAATTTGAACTTACCAGATTTGATGTCATAAGTCAGCCGCAGCCATTTGTTTGAAACAAGTGCTAAAGAAGGAGCACTCTCCATTCGATGATCATGTTGCTCAATCTGTGGTGCTTCTAATGGATGTTTTTGGGCATTCACGATGATAAAATTACATTGAGATTGATTAAATTGGACTTCCAGCTGATCAATCTCAATGGAAACGGGTAAATGTGATAGAAGTGATATTGTAATGGAGGAGGAGACACCAGACTTAATTATCTGTTCATGAAAAGCCACTGAAGCAAGAAGTACAGATCTGAGTGGACTAACGAGATCAATCTCAAGATGAAGGGTATTATCTCCGGTTAATTTGAGATCATCAAGTCCATTGAGGGATTCTGGTCTAGCTTCCCCACTTATGAATGCAAAAATTTCTCTGTGTATCAGTTCTCTCTGTTCAAGACTTGCAGGTCCTCCAGGACCACATTTGGAGGACTGGATGCTATCGACCATAGATACTGGCAATGCAGCCATTTGAAGAGAGAACTCTATGAACTCTTTTATCGCACGTTGTTTCCTTGAGCACTCTCTCAAGTAGCCCAAAACCTCCCACAACAAAGTAACCCATCCTTCTTGCCTATATAGATTTGCAATCCCATCAAAAAACTGTTTTGCATTGCTGAAATCACCCAAAGAAAAATATTCTCTAGCAATCTGAAAGGCACAAAGTGAACCCATCCTCTGAAATTTACGATTACTATACATTTCATTACACTTTTTGAGCAAGGCAATAATTTCAAAGGAGTCCTGAAACGTTTTTCCCTCGTCAATCACGTAACGGGTGCATTCATCATCGGTAATGCTGCACAGTCAGATGAGAAGACAAATCTGAACATTTAGTATAAGGAAAATGGTACAAATCAAATAAGACTTTTAGTTAAAATTTCCAAGACTTACGACAGTATAGCTGAATCATCCCCTTGCTCAAGTAGCCGAGCAAACTGACCAATATAAACTGACGGTACCACAGATTCAGCACTTCCATCATCATTCTCATTAGAAGTTTCTGAATTTGACACTGCCAACTCCAAAGCAGATCTCTTTTCTTTCATGTATTGAGCTGCTGACTGTTGCAAGATGCATGTTATGGTTCAGCTAAGGTGAATAATTTAAGAGAACTCTGAATGCATGTTCAATCTCATCAAAGCAAGCAAAAATCAAGCATGAGAATAGTACAACCAAGGTACATATATTAGCTTATACCTATTCTTAGCCCCAAGAAACAATGTATGGGTACAGACCTGATAGTAATAAGCTGGATGGAATTCCCATTCATTTAGAGGTTGGTCGGCAGTGCCTAATGGCTGAGAGGAAGCACTCGGAAGAGTAGCAGAGCTTGAGTCAAGCAACTCAGCAAAAACCAAAAATTGCCTGCTGAGCCACTCCCAGTGAAGAAAAATGACTTCTGGAGCTGCAACAAGGGTCTTGTAGGAGCCAATGTGCTGGCGGAACCATGCGACTGCTTCGTTGATCTTTCCACCATGCAACAACAAAGTGCAAATCTTGAAATGCAAGTGTTCAGCAACAATTTTGATCTCATATAACTGTTGTATGGGAGGCAATCTTGTTAAGGTAGCAACCATCTGCATATGTATATAATAACATTGTAAAAAGAAAAAAGAAAAAAGAAAAAAGAGAGGATAATTAGGGAAAAGAACCCCAAGCAGAGCATGATAGGCATCCTCATAGAACCTCAAGGCTTCAGCCCAGTCTGGTTGGAACTCTGCATATACAGCAACCTACCCATTTTGTGAACCAATGAGCCAATACATATGGGATTAATAATAATGAAAAGAAAAAGTAAGCAAAGCTATTCTTTAATTATTATTACTTTGAAACAGTAGCGAACTTGGAGGTCGGGAGTGGGAAAGTTCTTCTTTTCAATGCGAGCTTTAATCCTTCGACCTTTGTCTTTGTAAAATATAGCTCCTAGTTCGGCAAAACTAACGCTCAACCTGACAGACATTACTATGGGATATATATGTACACCGTACAACTTATAGAGAAATTAATTCAGTAAAAGGGGAAAAAGGAGCACCTTTGAAGAGAGTTATATAGTTGGGAAGGATCCGGGTTATAGAGGAGAAGATACTTGGAATCAACCTCTGCTCGCTTCCGTAAGGCAAGGAGACGATCTTCACTAATGTCCTCCAATTTGCCCACCACCACGAGAAGCAATTTGGTGTTTCTTGGACGAATGGCGGCTTTTAGGTCATCCAGATCGGAGCAGACTTGGACCCATTGTGCAGGGTCACCGGACACATGATCCCAGGAGAAGAGGGCTGCCACAACGGCGGGGATCTTGGTCCGGTGCTTAACCAGCCAATCCCTTTTCAAAAATCCGGCCGGTGGAGAGGAGGAAGAGGAGGAGCTTGGAGAAGATGGGTGAGTATAGAGAATTCGGGCAAGGCGAGGGTGTTGATAGGAGGCTGCTGGGAGAGGAGATGGGTGGTTATCGCACCATGCTGCTCTGAGCAACCTACCAACGCTACCAGCGCCACTGGTGGACTCCTCAATTCTTCTGGATACTCTTCCATTTACTTCAGGGATTGTCCACTTTTCTCTATCTGCACTTCCAATTCCTTTATACTTGTACGTTGTAAATGTGTTGATAACAGAATTGAAGACGATGGATCAATTTCTAATAGTGAGTTCGGCCTATAATTTCATTATCTAATTTTGGGCTTCTCTTCCTTCGGACAAAAAAAATGGGCTTCTCTTCCCACCCCTAACCACACACATACCAATCCCCATCTTTTCACAACGGTTCGATATCTACCGTAATTAATTAAGATTGTAAATGAGATGAAACAGAGTGAAGCAGAAACTGGTGCCCGTCGTCATCATGATGGAGTTTCATTACACTCTTTAGGAGCAGAAACTGTCATACGATGAAAGAGAGAAGCAGAGTGATTTGCACGACCTTCGCTTATATGAACAATCCAATAGGGATACATGCAAGCTATAACCACAACAGCAGTCATCATCAACTAAAGCGAAAACCAGGCCGTATCAGTCAATCCGCCATGCAAAGACAAAAGCTAGCTTTGATGTCGCTTGGTAATAAAAGCACTGTTACCATTACTGAAGTGCAATGGTTGCACCAACTCACTCGACAAATAAAGGCCAGTCTTTTGTAGGAGAAGGATGCCTTTAGTTCGGGGAAGGGTCGAGGGGCATGCTTGCGAACTACAGATTGGAGCTTTGCTGTCTATCCGTCTATCATTAACAATATAAGTAGAGTTAAAACTGGATGGTCAAAGGAAACTAACATGGTCAAACAGTGCTAACTCAACCGTCCACGTTAATCTTTTATTAATATAGAAACAGTTGTTAACAATAAAAAATATTAATTGTTATTTCATTTTTAGAACTTCAGTATTGAAAATTAAAATTTATTCATATTTCTAATAATCATTTATGTGGTATATCCATTATATTGTAAAATATTTCAATTATTTTTTATGCCGCAGTTTTGTATAAAATTGGGAGTTATAAATATTTATCTTGGAATATATTTTGGTCTCGCATATTAGGTCTGTATGATGTACCAAGAGCGTATAGTCATCAACCAAAACAACATACTCTTTGTGTTGAACTACTCTTCTGTTGTACGTTCCAACGAGGCCTTCCACATTTCTCATCTCAGAAAATAAAAAATTTCCCAAGAAAAAAATAGTTCCCAAGAAAAAAAAACTATGTCTACTGATGACGACAGTAATAATATCAGTCCAATTGCCGGAGATGCAGATGTCTCCTCCTCCGACAACCCCTCGCCGTCATCACTCCCGCTGGCTGTTCCGGTCCCTCTGACTTGGCCCTCCGATGGCCAGCTTAGCCTTGATTGGATCCAGCACTTAATATCGGCGTTCGACTGGAGTTCAAAAAATCTGCCCCCCTCCTCCTTGCCCTCGTTGTTTCCAGTTCCCGTTTTCGACGCCCTCGTTCTTACAGCTTCTAAGATCCTCCACAAAGAACCCAATTGCCTCCGAATCGAGACCCCCGACACCGATTCAACGGTTGTGGTGGTTGGCGATCTTCATGGGCAATTGCATGATCTTCTCTTCCTCTTCCAAGATGCTGGCTTTCCTTCCGAAAATCGGATCTTTGTCTTCAATGGGGATTATGTTGACAGAGGAGCTTGGGGTCTTGAGACTTTCTTGCTCCTGCTAGCCTGGAAGGTAATTCCAATTTTCAAAAATTCTTTATAAAGAATTCACTTTTACAACACTTGTTTTACTAGTATTTATGCGTACCATCTTTCATACGCTGCTTGTAAAATGAATTTGACCCTTCAACTAGAACATTAACATAGCTTCTTAACACTCTTGATTATGGATCTCACAATAGTTTATACATTAGAAGCTGCGATTAGCATACCGTTTTTATTTTTGTTTTTGGTTACTACGCATGCTCTAGAAGCTGACTTCCATCATTTGTGGTCAGAAATTAAGTTGATTTATTTTTCCTTAAACTGAATTGGATTTTGATGTTTGCAGTGATTTATTTATTAATGAAACTGAATTCTATCTATCGTTTTGATAATTAAGTAACTTTTGACAGTATATCACTTTCTTCTAGGTTTGCATGCCACATAGAGTGTATCTCCTTCGTGGAAATCATGAATCCAAGTACTGTACCTCTACTTATGGATTTGAGAAGGAAGTTTTGGCGAAGTATGGGGATAAAGGTAAGCATGTGTATCGCAAATGTTTGGGATGCTTTGAAGGACTTCCTTTGGCCTCTATAATTGCTGAGCGTGTATATACTGCTCACGGGGGGCTTTTCCGCAGTATTACTGTCACCCCTTCCAAAAGGACGAAAGGGAAGAAGAACCGTAGGATAAATCTTGACCCTGAAGCCAATGCCTTATGCCTTGGTTCTTTGGAGGAGTTATCTAAAGCTCGAAGATCAGTCCTTGATCCTCCTTGGGAAGGACATAATTTGATTCCCGGTGATGTGCTATGGTCAGATCCATCAATGAAACCTGGTCTTTCACCTAATAAGGAGAGAGGTATTGGCTTGTTATGGGGCCCTGACTGCACAGAGGAGTTTTTAAAGAAGTTCAAGCTAAAGGTATTATCATAATTATGCTTTCACTTACATTTTTTATTTAAAGCTTTTGTGGTTAAATTTAACAGTTGATCTCGTAATTGTGTAATTAAATTATTTTGTCTCCACTCCTAACCATTAGAAGAGAAGGGGATGTTATCATTCCAGTGTAAAATGTTCTTAGGTGCTTCCCATCCTTTAAAGTAATGCATTCAATCTGCAATTTAGTGTTAGAGGATACTGCTTGGATTGATAAACCGTGGTCGTTGGTTTTCTAATTGAAGGCTGTGAAATGGAGCAAAATGCAGTTCAGGTTGGACAAGCGACTTTTCATGTTCAAACCTGGGCAGTTCATGGAGTTTTTCCTATAATTTTGGTATTGACCCTAATATACTAGTATGTAGGAGTGAGGTTGTAGTGGTTCTGGCATGAGCTGTACAATTTCGAAGGACCATCTCATTCAAATTTTTGGCCTAGATTTGACTCTAAATCTGGAACAGAATTTATTGGCTAAATGGTAAATTTGATTTTCTGGTTGAGCATTTCATGTCTATGTTATATGCAGGAAGATAATGCTTATTATTATTCTACATCTCGATGCGATTAGAACATGCGTATCTATTATACTGTTAGTTAGGGGAATAAGTTGTTATGGCATACCTGTCAAAACTTGCACTTCAGTTGCAAGTGGGAGAGAGCTAGTAAGGGAATATCTTGGTGCTGTAATCTAATTTTTACACTCTAATAGCCGGCTAAACTTTGTCATTCTTTTTGTGCAATAAACTTGCCTGTAATTGATATTTACTTTTAATTGTTTGAGTTAAATTAAGTCATATGTTATAGCAATTCTTTTATTTTATAATTGCATATTCTTCATTATAGCTATTAATTTTATGAGCTAGCTTTTCTTTAGAGTTGCAAAATATTTAAACTGTGGTTGTTTTTGGGTGCAATTGCCTCAGCTAATTATCAGATCACATGAAGGACCTGATGCAAGAGAAAAGAGGCCTGGTCTTGCAGGAATGGATGAAGGATATACCATAGATCATGATGTGGAATCAGGGAAACTGATAACCGTGTTTAGTGCTCCGGACTACCCACAATTTCAGGTATCTTTGTGATCTTCAATGATTTACTTGTCATCTCTTAAGATGTAAATGCCTGGTTTCTGGTTTTGATTCTCGACATCAAATGACAAATTATGTCCATGTGTGGTCACTGTGGCTTACTTTGCATCCACCACATCCTCTTAAGTATTTTCAGTGGGTCTATACCTAGACTTTATACAACTGTTATTTTATGTGGTTAATATGTGGGTGTGTAAGATGGGATATCTTATGATAACAATGAAGTGTTTTAGAAGGTTTGAATGCTCATAAATGTATCATCGGGATTCAATAGTAGAAGTAAAAGACCGATTTGTTTCTTGGACATGGCTAGATTGAAGTTGCTTTGTGGTATTGTTGAAATGCATCTAGACTCAATCATCTTAAATAAGCTTGATATACCTAAGTTCATTTTTCTAATGCGTGTGAGGCATCTGTTAGTACAAAGTAAAAGTACGACCTGTCTAGTACAGAGTAATCAACATTAAAAAGAACATACTTCTACCATTGTGTGCTATTTAGGAGATGTGTAGATCATTAAGAGCAAGGTCCTTTTAACTCTGCATCACCTTTAGCATGTGCTTATGTTCTGTTGCTTCCCCCATTCTTCAAACGTACTCGGTTATCTGTTCCTGGCTTGTCATATCTAAACTCTTCTCATCTTTTTGTTGATGGTTGTCCTAGTTGTCTAACATTGAGTCCCAGCATTTATCTTTTAGGGTCATTGCCATCATTATGGAATTTTACTTAATTGTGTTACTTTTAATTAGTGGATTTACAATATACCGATCATGTCTTATCCATATGCCTTATCCACTATATGTATCTTGTTTGCCAATAAGGGTGTGGAATTTAACTACTTGCACAACTCATACAAACATCACACGCTGTCACGGATAAAGGTAACAGCAATAAATGTGACACATTACAGATAACTGTTAACGATCCAAGGTTAGCATACAGGTGTGTCTAACTATTTTATATTGGTGTTAAATATAGTGGAAACTTAAGATAAATATTTGCTGTGGGAATATGGCCATATTCTTGGTCTATCTCGTATCTGCTTGTATTTGACTCGTATATCCTTTCTACGATGCAGGCAACAGAAGAGAGATACAATAACAAAGGAGCATATGTTGTACTGAAGCCTCCGGACTTTGATAGTCCCGAATTCCGTAGTTTTGAAGCAGTTACCCCGAGACCCAAGGTATCCAACTGGCTTCAATGAAATGTAAATTAGCACCAATAATATGCAGTTAAAGCATATCCTGATCCAAAAGACCTTATAGATTCGGTAGTCGATTGCAAGGATAAACTAACCTTCAGATGTGCAGGTGAATCCATACTATGACTTTGAGGATGTGATTGATTCTGATGAAGACTTGGACTTGGCGTCAATGGTACCCGATTTGTAATGTCCCGGATCTATATGTTTTTCACAATCATTATTTTGAGAGTTGTACATGGTATTAATGGATTTTCATTAATATATAGTGTTGTTTAATGATGATGATGATTTGTTATCAAGAAGCATGGTATTTTCTTCACTTTGAAGCTATTTGTATTGCTATAGGTTTTAAAAGAAACCTAACCTTTTGTGAGTTTTTCTTTCTGAAATTATAGTGCAGAAATATGATTATTTTTTGTTAAATGGCAGAGTAAATAAGTCGAGAGAGAGTGTACAATGGTGATTGTATTCTCAGAAGTGGTATAATTCCTTCTTGTTGTAGAGTTATTATTAGTATTATTATTATGTCGTATATATTTAGCAATTAGCATAATAAAACTTTTTTTCCTTCTGAAAATAGCATAATAAAACTTGCACCTCTTAGATTGGCACGATTGTATGCATACTCAGCAGAGTGTGGCGCAGACGGATTAAGACTTGTTACCACGACTAAATTAATAAAAAAAATACTCTGATAAAATATTCACTCCTAAAATTGACTGATGGATGATAATATAATTTTTCAAAATATTTGGTTGAGATTTTTAATTCCTCATTCTTGACATTTAGAGGCTCGATATACTTTTGTTATTTAATCTGGTGCTTGTATTTTTTTTTCAAATTTGGTTAATGAATTTAATAAATATTATATATTTGGTATTTAATTTGATAATTGTATCAGATGTGATACTTATATTGTTTAGTTGAGGTGTGAGACTTGAATTTAATAAATATTATACATTTCAATATTTAAATGCATTCGTGATATTGTATATTCATCTAATGAAATAGTTGTCATCATTTTATTGATTGCTAAAAAATTAACGTTGTTACAATTTATATGTCATGTTATTAATGGACATATAATATCATATGTTAAATACAAATATCGCATATTAATTATCAATTAGATTAAGAATATGAAGTATTAAACCGTTAAAAAAAGATTTAAAATTTGATATTATAAATAAAACAAATTAAATTACAAAATCACTATAGTGATAGTAAAAGAAAATCTAGCAGTAGATAAATTAATAATTATTCATTAATTTTTATTTGGGAGCGATAGAATGAGAACATAAAAATCTTTCTGGGGGCAGAGAAAATGTTAAAAGAAGAAGGTGGTGGTTAAAGGTAGAGTAGGCGACACCTAAACCTTCTTGTCTTTAGTGTCGTACAATTATTTCTTCTTGCCAAAGTGAAAATCCTTCCATAAATTACCTTCAGGCGTGTTTAAATCAAGGTAAAAATCATTGTCTTTAGCGTCGTACAGAGCATCATCAACAGTACATTTTTTTGCTTGGATTCTTGTGAATCCTATTCCCTCGTCCAATTACGTATTTAACAATTTTTGGATAAAATCACCCCTAAAATAAATTGAATAATTTTAAAATTATCTTTTATTTTATTCTTTTGAATTCAGTACTAAATTCTATGAATTTATATTTTATAAATAAAAATATATACAAATTAGAAATAATGAAATAATATTTTTTATAAATATTTTTATTTTAATATTAAGAATTCAATTTTAAAAAAATATATATCACATGGATAAATTTGGTAAAATATAAATTTTAGTAATCACATATTCCTTTAATCAAACACTATAATCTTACATATCGTTAAACAAACCAAACAAGATAATATAACATTCCCAGTAATATATAAGTAATGCAACATTCTAATAATTTTATTTCAAAAAAATAATCTTATAATCCATAAACCAAACTACCTCTAAAATAATTTATATATTTTATTCCCATATTTGCTGTCCCACTTTCTGTATCAAAATATATTTTTTACCTCTCCTCCCAAACTCCATAAATGTGATGGTGATTGGTGACATCATTAAAGGAGTAAACATGCTTTTAAATAAATTTCATCACATATCATTTAATTTTTTTATTAATTTAAAGTAAATATAAAATAATATCAATTCTAAAGATTTTTAGCTAATTAACAATGGAAGTTAAAATATCATTGTAGTTTGTGGTACTAAAATTTAAAATCTCTAGAAATAATAACTATTATTTTAATTACTGAAGTAATTTAATTTGTGTCATATATCATTTAATTTTAGATATTATATTGATTATAATATTAAATTTTTAATTATTTTAATTTTACGTTAACATTCACGCCAATAATTATTATTTATATTGCCGTGTTGTTATCAAATTAACATTCAAGTAATATAATTGAAACTAATACTAATATTTAACATTATAATTGAAGTAAATTAAAAGTTAAGTGATATACAATGTAATATCTAAAATTGTAATTTAATATTTATTATTTAATTAAGTATTTAAATTCCTTTTTAAGGTTTAATTTGATATATAAATTTTTTGAGTTTAATTAGGCATTTGAAATTTAATTTTAGGTTCAAATTGAATTCTAAACTCAACTTCATGGTTCAAAATTTTCAAATTAGTTCAAGTAATTCATTTATCATAAGTATCAATTTGAATCAAAAATAAAACTTTAAGTATCAATTTAAATCAACATGTCAAGTTCATGTATCTGATTGGACCAAAAAAACTATAGATAAAAGAGTTAAAGAGATAAAGAAGAAGAAAATGAGAATAAAATGATTTATTTAATCCTCTAAAATAATATTTTATATACCGAAAGAATGTTGTTTTGATCATATCATTATTTTATAGAATTGATATCCATGTCAAATTAACATTTAATAGCCAATAATCTAATGAATAGATAATGAATTTAAAGTTTATTCATATTTGATGGAGTTAACCTAAATAAATAATGGGTTCTAGTTTTATGATAAAAGTAGATCACGTTTAGTAAAGAAACAGTGTCCCATGCTTTCAACTGACGCAGCCTTTCCCTGAATGATCTATTTTCCAGCTGAAACTCAAAAGCCATTTTCCTTATTTTGCTACTTTCTCTCTCAAAACTCAAAGCCAAAAAAAATGAATGGAAAGCTCGAAAGCAGCTTCTTCTGTTGATTTATGATATGATGTGTTATTATTCTTCAGAATGTGAAAACTGCAGATGAGAAATTATCTTCAAATTCGAGTAACTATTACCAGGTACAAAGGTACGCTCTATGTTGTCATCAGGTTACGTTGTTGTTTTAGCAGATTTACAAAGTTTTCAGAGAAACACCAAACTATGTTTTGTTCCAGGAACTGCAATGGCAGACGTCTTCATGTTTCCTTCTGTCGTCTCAATCAAGGGTTATCGACTCTCTTCTTTTTCTTTCATTCTTTTCGAAGTTCAAAGGGTTCTTAATAACATTCAACAAAAAGTTAATGAATTCAATATGAACGAATCCGAAATATTTTCAATTTTATTTTAATAAAATAAAATAATTAAAAAATTAGTTTTAATTTTATAACGTGTAATGATGATGTTAGATTGTAAAGAATTATTCAATCAATATAAATATATCCAAAAGACAGTAATGATATATGGATATCATTTCATATCTATTATTAATCAATAATAATATATGTATAAGTATCATATCACATTTATTGTTGTACTATTTTGAATAAAAAATGTGTGATTAATTTAAATGTATATACAATAAACAATTAATATATATTTATATCAGTGGTAGATCCAGAAATTTAAGAATAAGTCCAAAATATAAATTTTATTTTTTTAAAAATAATGGATATGCAAAAATTGTAATTTTTTTTCTTTTTTACTTAACACATTAAGTTAAATTTAACCACTTTTCTAAAATAACGGGATGAACTTAACCCCTATGAGTGCTTAGTGCATCCACCACTGTTTATATTATAATAATAGATCACAATGATGAAATTCAAATAAGTAAATTTTTTATTAAGAATTTAAGTTAAATTTTTATATAATATTTAAATTATCTAAGTATTATCTATAAATCAAAAGATAACTATATTCAAATTATTTTTTTAATATTACAGTAACAATCATGTATTAAATTAAAACTTAAAAATAAAAATAAAAATATTTTATATATAAAATGATATATTTAAATATAAATACAAAATATATTAATAACTAAACTCCAAATCCAAAATAATTAAAATTTGTCTGCATCGTTCTCTTAACCCCTTCTTTTGGTGTATATTTAAGTTGCTTATGGTTTGGTTTGAATCTTCAAGCTTTTAGGACGGGCTCAGTCTTATTAAGGCACCTTTTAAGTTTTGGCCTAGGAATACCCTAAGCTAGCACAATCGTTATATTTAAAGTATTTTATATAAAATTTGACACAATGATAACTTGTTTATATAAATTTTAATAGAAAATGATGAGTTTGAAACGTAATAAATATTCAGATGACCATTTTATAAGTTTTAATATTCAATGACTCAATAAAATAATATTTTATCATCGGGAATCATTTGTGTACTTTGCACTAATAAAATATTTGTCAACTAGGTCTACGATATACCGATATGAGTAGAAATATTATCTTAATATTGATTTGAGGTTGATGTAGAATAACTTGTCTTCCCATTCACACTAAATCTATAGTTTAAACTTTGAATGTATACCTTTATTCCATGATTTTGTAATGGTCAGAAATATACATTTCCAAGAAAAGAAAAGAATCAAATAACCAAAGTACTACAAGTATTTTATTTTCTAATACTTAAGGTAATAATATATATATGAATTGATAGATTGAATGTTTTGATAATAAAAAAATAAAAATTGGGAATTCATATATTTTGAATGTTGGTCTGATTATGTTTGAAGATTAATACTTTTAAATATCGTGGTTGTTTCTCTCAATAAAATGTATTTAAAGTTTCAGTATTGTTATGTGTTTGAAAGTATAATGTTTATTGCCATTTCACCCCATGCATGTTGATGTTTGACACATTAGTATTTATCTCAGTATGGGAACATCTGTGTAGGCATTACCATATATGCATGCACTGTAATGAATTGAAGATTGTCATCAAAGGAGGAATATATTGTTTCCATGCATTCAATAACACACCGGAGAGACTTATGCATCATGTATGTGTGACTTTAGGTAACGTACACCCTACCAAAGCTCAACCTGGAAGTCTTTAAATCATCTTCTGTTGTATATATTTAATTAAGTTTTTCTTTGTAATTAACATCTTGTGTCCCCTGTGATAATTTTATTTCTCAAAATCGGAACTCATAACATGATTAAAGCCTCTTCCGATGTCATTTTATTAAAAACTCTAAATGGCAATGAAACATAGCAGCAAAATAGAAACTGAAACACTCAAACACAACAGAGTTAACATCAGACACAAGAGTAACATATAAACCCCCAAAAAACAAAGACAAAAAGAAAAGAACAAGGGAAAAAAAGGAAGGAAGCTTCCAAAACGGTCAGCCCCAGCCTAAACAATGATTGCTACCAATCCAACATAACCTAGGAACAAGAACAAATTATAAAGCATGCACCACTAACTTAACCTAGGACTAAGACTCCTACATGGAAAACGGGGATAAGATCAATGATGTAGATCTAAAAATATTTTTTTAGGGTGGATACATATATTAACCATATAAAAATTTTGTATATGAGTTGATAAAAATAAATTTTCAAATGGACATAATCAATAAAATGTGCAATTAACAACAGAAAATTCAGATTTCAAAGTAAGCATTTATCTATCCTAACTAAAGCTTGAATCCGCAACTATAGGGTCAAAGGGGTGCTAAAGCGATGTGATGATGTCAAGACCTGTGCATTGTGCAGTAATGTTTTTAGGAGTAAAGATGGTAACAAACATCTATCCATTGGTAGAATTCATTAATGCATTACTGACAGTCCATATGGTCTTTATGCTCATCAATCCTCAAAACGAAATGGAAATTCTACCCCTATTTAAGACAAACCACATCAAAACGTGTATGATTACTAAATAAAATTATATTGTCGAGAAAAAAAATATATAGAAAAATTCTCTTCTAGCACGACTCTCTGCATTTGTATATAGCCTAGGTTTTGGTTTCAAGGCTATGGTTTGGCTAAGAAATTAGGTTCAAGTCTCGGATTATATTAAAAATAAGTTTTTCCTGTGATACTCTCCCCTCGGCCCTGTTGAGTCTTGCTCTCAGACAAAACTGCTATAAAATTTTATGCACAACACAGCACAATGGCTAAAGAGAATTCATCATTCACTAAATGCATACTTTTAAGCTTAAAACTATGGACATTTCATATATAATTTCCACAAGATTAAGTTTGTTTAATTTTGAGATTGCTATAAGGAGTTCTATGATCCAATCCTGTCTGCACTTTAATGCTATGACATATACAAAACTGGATTAAAAGATTTTTTGGGTTTCTTTCCAACAAGCACAATGTGGCAACTTATAGGATCTACTGTGGCGTAGCATGCATGCATATTATAGATACATTAGCTTCTTCTATCTACTTATTTGCATATAAATTGAAACTATTTAATAAATACCCTTTATAAGGGAATGGAGGGTGATTAGATCAATTCACAAAACATTAGTCAAAAGCATGAGCCCTTAATTTATAATTTTCTACACATGTTTTAGTGTAAAAAATTGTATATGCACAATGACACCTACATGCCATGAATTTCATACTCTACAGTAACAAATTAAATACATGAAGATTCTTAACTCAGCTGAATTAAAATCATTTTTCTCATATGTAACACTCCAAACATCGAGTTAATGACTAAAGTGTAAGGATTTAAAAGTTAACGATAAAATTTGATAAACTAAAAAGTTCAAGGACTAATTTTGAGAATTATTGTTTAGGACTTATTATCAAAGGTTGAAGGATTGAAGGGTAAAATGGTCCGTTGACAAGAAATGGATTAAAAATTCATTTTTAAGGGTTATTTAACATGTGATCAAGGGAGAAAGAAAGAAAGGAAAACTCAGGAAGCTTGCTCCTCTCTTCTTCTCTTCCCCATGAACCTCCATGCTAAGGTAAGAGATTTAAAAGTTGATTGTTTCTTTCATTTCTGAGTTGATTTTGGTTCTTTGGGTGATTTAGAAGCTTAATAAAGCCTAAGGATGAATTGAAACTAAGAGATTAAGGATTTAATGGTGATTTAATAAAATGATTTTTTAGGAGAATTGATTTAAATTGACTGTTTTTGGATTTTTTTAAGATATATTTGACTTGTCAAGGGTTTAATTAAGGGGATAGAAGTGTTAGAAAGGATTAAGAACAAGTTTGAATAATTGTTATGATTTTTAGTTTCAAGAGTTTCATGGAGAAATTGAGGTGTTAGAGGGGTTTTAATGGAAGTTAGTTGTAATAAGTGTAAATGAGTTTAAAGGCATGAATGGAGTCTAAGTAGAAGATTTTAATGAAGTTGGGTAAAATTTCGAAGGGAAATAGATGAATTATGGGTTAGGGTATCGGTACTGGAAGAACAATACCGATACTATAAGGTTAAATTGAAGGAAATAATATGAATTGAATAAACAATATCGATATTGGTTGAAGAAGTATCGATACTTATATGAAGGTATCGATACTTATATGAAGGTATCGATACCAAGGATAAGGTATCAATACTGTAAGTAAAGAAGAAATTCCAGAATGTCGAATTGGTATCGATACTGAAGTAAGTATCGGTACACTATAAGAGAAGTATTGGTACTACAGGTAGAGTACTGATACTATTCATGCTGAAATACTAAATTCGGGGTTTCATTGTGATTAAGTAAAAGTTAATTGGTTCAATATAATTGAGCTTCGATGTTCATGGGTCATATTAAATGTGTAGATTTGATTGAAAGCAAGTGTTGAACGAATGAATATGTAAAGTTAGTAAGCTACAGGGAAAGGATGTTTGCTTAGGACTTATGTGAGACAAAAGTATGTGCATTTTACTATCCTTTTAAATATAATAAGAGGAAGACTCGCGATGAGTCAACCTTGAATGTTTTGAAAGAAAATGTTTTGAAATTTTATTATGAAACACTTTGATCATACTTTGATAAATAAATTGTGAATAATTTAGTTCGTGAAGAGCCAAATCTTGAAAATTTGTTAATGTAAATTATTTGAATTATGACATTATCTTTTATGATAATTTGATATATTTTGTTTATGAAGTCTGACATGAAATGATATATAGATTTAAATATAATACTATGTGATATACTATGTAAAAGTTTCTACATGAAGATGATATGTGAAAATGTTTACATGAAGATGATATGTGAAAATGTTTATATGAAGATGTTCTATATGAAAATAATCTATGTGCTCAGCAAAAGTGATATGCGTGAAAGTGAACCATAGGTGAATGTACTTTATGAGAATAAGATACACTTTAAATAGTGAAATGAAAAATAATGATAAAGCTAAAGCCCAATGTATATGTATGAGAATTAGAGGTATAGTTGGCATGCCAAGAGTCGAGAGTTTTAAGTAGCACTTTTGTACAAGTCTATGTGCCACTTCGGTACAAACCTATGTGCACTTCGGTGCAAACCTATGTGGTTCTTCGGGATAAATATGTGGCACTTCGGTGCAAATTATGTGAGCTATGGTGACAACTTTAGTGCACAACCTCAATGTACTCAAATACCTAACGTTCTCAGTAGTATACGTTGGGCTATTAAAAAATAAATTAATATAAACTGAACAATTGATTAAAGTATACATTTTGTTATGAAAAGTAACTTGGAATTCTTTGAGAAATGTTTTCTATAAAATGTGTAAATAAATGTTTTATGATTTTATTATACTCATTATGCCTCACTAAGTCATAGACTTAGCGTGTGATTGTTTGCACACGTAGGATCCGAGCTTCGAGAAGTACGTTGAATATGCAAGAGCAAGACAATGTACTGGTGAGAATTATTAGATCAGAGAGAAATTTTGAATTGTATAAGTATTGATTTTGAAATGTTGTTGGCATGTACTAATTATGTTCTAAATTGTAGATGCTCTCATGTGTTTTAATTTTTTTTCCAATAAAAGTCAAATTTTAGTTAAAATTCTCAAAGAGTCAAAGAGTTGAAAAGTCAATGTGACACTTCAGAGTCGTATCATCCGGGTCGAGTACGGGTCGGGGGTGTTACATCATATTTTTCACTTTTATCTCTGCATCATTTTTCAACTTGAAGATTTACTAAAGGTTTCATAGTTCACTACTCTTCTACCTGGTTAAACGGTTATCAGAGAAAATGACTTAATATTGTTAACTCTTCCTGCAAGTCAATTTATTTTTAATTTGCTGACTGAACCATGATAGAGTGACAAAAGTTAACACTAATTTCGGGTTCGATCCTTGAACCATCTCTTCCTCTTATAAAACTAATCATTCTTAATCCTAGATATCCCTTGATTAACCATTTTCTAGATGGTTCAATACATATTTCATCGTTGTCATCATCTGGTATCTTAATTAGGTCATATATCATAATTAAATCTTTCTCATCATTTGGTTCAAGAAAAAAGCTCTAGTGCCGCTGCCAAAATTAATATTAGATAATTATCTCATAAAAATCATTAGCCAAAATAAGAGTATGGTACAAGAGGTTCCATCCAATGAATTCTGTACTGTAATTTAACGAATGGATTCTCGAGTACTTGAGACAAATTTAAGCCCAACTTCTCTTACATGCTGTCCGCTAATCATCAGACAGAAGCATATAGTGATGGAAACCTAGAGAAACAACCAAGCTAGTAGAGAAAAGGACATATATGGTTCAAGAGATCAGCAATTGAGTTGAGAGGTTCAAAAGAAAAGCAAGCATTCAAAGAGTTTTTATTTCCTCCATCAAACCTTAAATTAAACAACAAATTGAAACTGTAGCTTACATCTTCGATGCTCATGCGCTGCATATAAGCACTATGGTCCTTCGTTGCAAGTAAAGCAGGCCTCTCAGGGTTTTCCATATAGTCGAACTCATGAAAATCAAGACTGAAATCGATTAATTGTATGTGAATGAGATAATCAGATGTATGAAGGGCCTCATATATATGTGTGTGTTAGTGTGTATGTGTATTTATACGTTCTTGGATGATACCTGTTGAGAGGTCGACATTAGTTATAGCACAAAGGGTAGAGTGAGCCGTTTGCACCATTAGTATCCCAATTCTGGGACAAATTGGGGAAGCCATTACTGTCAAAGCTGTTGCAGCAGTTTGCATCCTTTGAAGTTGCAAGGCTTTGCTGATAACCCAAAATTGTAGATGGCTTCAACATCCTTCTGATTACTATAGATTTTTCGATGACATTTTCTCTTGATGCTGCACTAGGTTGTTCAACTTGATGAGCAACGACTTTAAAGGAAGACGATACCATGTTGTTGTGGCCATAAACTAAATGATCTGCAGGTTTCTTGGATGTTTCCAGTTGGGTCAAAGAACTCAATGGGTGAGTGCTTGAATCTGAACATATTTTCCACTCATGAGCACTGTTCATCTTTTCTCTAGTTCTTTCCCTTGCCCTTGCCCTTGCCCTTGCCCTTGTCTCTTTAAGAGGGGTTGCCGCTAATTTCTGTAACTTTTTCTCTTTTGAAACAACACCCACTAGCTCAAGTGAGTTGCTTTCTCCTTCATCGAAATCAAACTCTCGATTATTAGCCATCATTTCGATCTGATCATCATCATCGGAGACAAGAGACAACCTCTTTTGACCACCGGCACAACCAACATTTCCGTATTGCTTCATCTTCGTCAGCTCTTTAATGGCGTTCCTCGATTTCCTAAGCAGCCACTCCACCGTTTTGCTAGCTTTATCAAACCCTAACATGTCTTGAAGATCAAAGAAATCGCGGGCGATTTCTATGGACAGCCTCACCCTCCTATCCCTCACCCCTTTCGCAGTGCAAATCTTGCTGTGCCGATCTTTCTTCAGAGCCTTCTTGACGGGAAAAACAAACCCCGGACGAAGCCCACCACTAAAATCAAGTACTCCATGGTCCCCGTCCTCGTTCAAAAGCGCCATGTTGAGCAAAGTCTCGTTGAGGTTAAGCTGCTGAGGGGTTTGCAGCGGCGGGCAACAATGAAGAAGCCGACACCAGATCATGATGGTGGTGATTAAGGAGGACATTGTCATTAGGTTCGTGGCTTAAAAGAACTTGGGGAAGATGGTAAGATGAAGAAGAAGAAGAAGAAGAAGAAGGAGGAGGAGTAGGAGGAGGAGGAAGGTGAGAAAAAGGGTTGATATTATAGTTGTTAGCTGAGATTGGAAAGAACATCTTTGCTTAGACAAAACTAGTGTTGTTTGAGGAGGAGTTCAGTTGCTTTTAACAAAATTAGAAAAAATGTGGGGATTCGATCTGCGGAAGAAGAATTTAGACATGGACAAAGCACTGCAGGGAAGACAGGGGTTCTAGTTGTTTGCCTCGTGTTTCAGAACCGCATCCAAACTTAGCTTAGCGAGCTGCTATAAACACACTGAGCGAGACTATTTCACTTTTGGCCAATTTTTTTTCTCCTGAAATTTATGAACGCGTAATGTAACTTTATCGGAATAAGATTACGTACGGAAATAAAATTATTGAGAATGTTTTATTTTTATGTTTGTTTTGTTTAACAAAAATGTAAGATTACAGTGTCTGGTTAAAGAAATAAAATATTATTGAAATATATATATTTTATTAAATTATCCTTATTATATATTTATTTTTTAACAAGTTGAATTCTACTATAATATTACTATAATTAATTTATATAATTTCTTTAAAAAATTTAAATTCATAAAATTTATATAATTATGAATTTTTTTGTAAAATTGAAAATATAAATAGGTTTAATGAAATGGTAAAGATTTTTTTTGTAAATCTAAAATAGTTTAAAAATAAATTTTTAATTTAACCTTCGTATAATTTTTTTTATTCAACAACAGAAGAATGATATTTTTGAAAAAACAACTTAAGGGCATTTTAGTCCAAAATATCGAGAATGTAATAATACCTAAGGGAAGGGGATATTCTCATTCTAGATAATATAACCTAAAATACCACTGTTGGGAATAACTTATTATCGGAGTTGAGAATGTTTGCCAACCAAATGGGGGAATGACATTCCATTCCCCTAGTAATGTGAGATACCCTTAACCAAACGCCCCTAGAGTGCGTTCGGTTCAGGGAATGTAAGATTACCAATGGGAATAAAAGATTACCAACGAATAGGATTACTGAGAATGTTGTGTTTTGTGTTTGGTTAGTTTAGCATGAATGTAAGATTATCGTGTTTGGTTAAATGAATAAAAGATTATTGGTAATAAAAGATTACTGGGAGCTAGGAATGTTGGCCAACCAAACGGGGGAATGAGATTACATTCCCCTTGTAATTTCATATTACCTAAACCAAACACCCACTAAAAGTAATGGAAAGGCTATTACTGATATTTTAATTATATGAGTATTGTTTCAAATTTTAATTTATTATTTAATATAATGATGTATATGAATAAACATTTTTTATACAAATTGTCAATTATTTATATTTCTATACATATATCAAGAGATATTATACGGGAAAGCTAGGAATGGTAACGGGGTGGGTTTTGTTCCCTGTCCCAGAAATGAATCCCCGTCACCGTCCTGTTCCCCGTCGGGTTTTTTATTGAAGCGCTCTGTCGGGAATTGTTTTTGTCACATCCCCGAACCTTACCCGAAATGTTATACTCGAACCCGACCCAATCCCGTGAAAAACCGAGAAACCGTAGTTTTCATAAAAAAATAGAAAAAACGATCACAAAAAACTAGAAAATTAGTCTACATGATTTACAATTCAAACTACAATCATAAATTCAAACTCAATTCTAAATAATTATCTAAACTCTAAAATAAAACACATACATAATTAAAACAAACTTGTTCCGATATTCAAATCATACAACCAAGATGCATACGTAATATTAAGTCAAAGGGGATAACAAATACAAAGGGGAAAGTGGGAACTGGAACCTAGGTTAAATGTTTTGTTTGTATTATATATAATTAATATAAAAATATAAAATATTATATATATATATATATATAATCGGGACGGGGGCGCGGATACCTTGCCCTGAACCCGAAAAAATCCCTGAATTTTATCCCAAAACCTGACTCGACCCGATATTATTTAAACCCGACCTGACCCTAACTTAGTCGGATTTCAAGTTTCCCCGTCGGGTTCGGGTTGTTCTGCCATTCGTAGGGAAAACTATGAACTTATTACATATTATTTTAAGAAACTAAAGAAGTAAAAATCTAATTTTACTTAAATTTAAACTTATAAGAACCTAAAATGTTATTCAATCAAAATTTTGGGAGGCGTTCTTTATATACATTTGTCTATGATATTCCGTGTTTATCTATGTTGTAACTCATATTCTTTTACATGTGGTAATATTGTAATCATATAAGTGAAATAAAATTAATATAAAACTTTTAACTTAAGATCTGACATGTCAAATTATCAATAATTATAAATAAAATATGAAAGTGTATTTGAATGTATTATAAAGAAAATATTATCGACATTATAATGTTGATCTTTTAAATTAGTACACAATTATATATAGAAAACACTTCGGGGTCATCTAATAAATAACTTAACATGTTAACCTTAATTTTTAATAAATATTAATATATGCACATACGTGTCAAATTAAGCTCAACTGCATAAGATTATTTCAATATCTTTTACAACAACAAATAACATACAATTATTTATTTATTATATTTTCCATGTTCATATAATTCATCATTCAATAATATCAGTAAATTAAAACTCAATTAATAATTATTTTTGTAATGTTGTTAAAATTTTAATCTTATGTTTATTTTTAAAAGAAGTGTCTGCTTAGTGTAAAACTCAATGAGTTTTACATGAATTTTTCTAGGATTAATATTTTAAAAAATTAATTGTATTAATCATACATAAAATAAAATAATTTAATTTAATTATATTAAAAATTAAGTCTAATATCAACAATTAATTAATCTAATATTATAAGACGATAAATCATTTAAATATGATTAAAAATTTAATTCATGACACAATGAATAAAATAAACTTAATTAGTAATATTATCTAACACTACAATAAACTTGTATAATATTCAATTTTAATTAATCAAACTGAATCAATGTCAATTATTATAACAAAAACAAGAAGTGTAATAGAATATAAATTTATATAGAGAGAAGACAATAAATTAAATACAAAATGGAGAATAAATCAGGCACTAAAGGTCGGGAGTGGGGGGGGGGGAACTGTAGCAGTCATTTCACACTTTTAAACCCGTTAATTCAAACTTTAGACCATCTCTTGCGCCTTTTCAAGTCTTTTCAATGCCAGTTCAATCTTTAAATGGTTGTGGTTACTTTTTTTATTAGGTTGTCTTTTTGGTATAATACTTCACTTTGATTAATTCATATCGATACTCGTCACTCACGGCATTAATGACTTATTTGATTTTCACATATTATATAATATCAAATTATAAATTTTTTATTGCCCTTTTGGTTTTCAATATTTCAATTTAATTAATTTGGATTAATTTAAGTCACACACATAATTTTAATAATTTTAATAAGTGAGTCTTACAACATGAATTTACTATATATGCAATAAATCTAACTCTATATTTACTTAAGTTACATTAAACTACTTACTATTTGAACCAAAAATAATAAAATTTTAATTTATTAACTTATTTTGACACAAATATAATGTCTATGTACACATGATATCATATATTGTCCAACGTTTTTCTTTTTTTCCCTTTCTTCAATGTGAAATGTCCCTCTACTAACCCCTCTCTCTCTCTCCTTTTTAATGCTTTTTTAAAATTAATTATTAATTTAAAGTAAAACGATTGGATTATGGATTAATAAAAATGTTCAAATTAGATTCAGTCTATTCTAATTTAATTCGTGTATTCATATTCTAAAATTCAATAAACAAGTTATTAATGTGTATTAATCTCTGTAGATTTCAATTTTGATCACTCAATTATAAAATGTTCTAATTTTATCTTTAATTTTTTTCGAATTACTTTCTTTTATCTTTTGACAGTTAATCATTACTTATGTTCGACTATCGTTTACGATAAGATGCGTACTTAAACTGTTTCATTCTCTTATCTTTCTAATGAAGAGATTCAATAACTCGATTCTAGCATTACAATAAGAAACCAAAAAAAATCAAATTCTTGCCCGATAATAATAATAATAGCAATAATCCCCTCGATTACTGCTGATGAACAAGAAACCAAACAAAATCAAATTCTTGCCCGATAATAATAATAATAGAAATAATCCCCTCGATTACTGCTGATGAATGTATAAAAAAAGGAACCTTCTACAACAGCCCACATTGCATCAATGTAAACGTAAATCCATGCAACAAAAATTACAGCATAAAGAGTACATATCATATGAACTTCACTCATTACTGCTGTCCCTCGCCCGACTCGGGTTTGGAAGCTTCCTTGGTCTCGTCTCCGGCTTCGTCCTAAATCAAAGAAGACAAACATTCAATCACAGAACACCACATTCAAGCACATGCAAATCAACATACTATGTAAGTAATCCAACATCCCATGTAAAAAACTCTTATGGCTTGTTGACTTTAGACACAGAATTTTTATTACAGTAAATAAAACACAAAGATTTAGAAGGCTATGGAAGAAAACTCATGAGAGAGAGAGAGACCGTTATGTCGGATGTCCAAAGGGTCAGATTGTCCCGAAGAAGTTGCATGATCAATGTACTATCCTTGTAGGACTCCTCACCCAATGTATCCAACTCAGAAATAGCCCCGTCAAAAGCCTGCCAAATGAAGAACATCTCATTTTATGTTGGAAGACAAACAATCTTTAGACATTCAGTTCATCTCCTTGGAAATATTTCCGGATCTTCACATAAGAACAATCTAAAATCGACGTGTTGTACATGTATAGGGTAAATTAATAAACCTCATTAAAATGGATAACATTTTATGAAATACATAAAGCAATCCCCAACATCTTATTATGTAGACTCACTCCATGCTATAAAGAACCACAATTTATGATCAGAAAGTGTGGAGATATAGTCACTCCTTCAAGCTTCTTTTAAGCTCAGTGTCCATACCATCACAAGTATTAAACAGATTCCAAAATATATGGAGGAGTTAAAAGGTTCTCAGGCCAGCAACTCTAATAGATGTAATCAAAGTTGCATCAAAAGCAGATCAAGTGGGGGCATGATTACATTATAGCAATTTACTATAGCATCCTAAACACATGAGACTCTAGCAACAGAAGTTCAATAAACTGACAACTAAAACAGCATAATTCGGTTCATTATATGTTATGACTCAAAATAGACAAAACTACAAAAGAAGCCGTTATGAATTAGAAGAGAATAAACACCTGTTTTGCAAGATTGCAAGCACGATCAGGTGAGTTTAGGATTTCGTAGTAGAAAACGGAGAAGTTAAGAGCAAGTCCCAGCCTAATTGGGTGAGTAGGTGCTAGGTCACCGAGTGCAATATCCTTCCATCATGAACAGCATAAAAAGAAACTATGAACTTCTTATCAGAGGATGCTCAAAAAACTATAAAGAAATAACTCATTGACAAGATGTCATTATCAATTTCACCCACCTGAGCAGATTTGTAAGCCAACAAAGTGCTCTCAGCGGACTCCTTCCTCTCAGAACTAGTCTTAAGCTCAACAAGATACCTGTGATAATCACCCTTCATTTTAAGGTAAAACACCTTGGACTCAGCAGATGAAGCTGAAGGAACGAGGTGAGACTCAAGAAGGCTCAAAATCCCATCACATATCTTGCTGAGCTCAGCTTCAATCTTGGCCCTATACTCCTTGATGGTTGCAACATGATCCTCATTTCTTCTGCTCTCTTCTTTCTGCTCAATAGAAGAGATGATCCTCCATGAAGCCCTCCTCGCCCCAACAACATTTTTGTAAGCCACGGAAAGAAGGTTCCTTTCCTCGACGGTCAGCTCCACATCGACAGTTTTTGCAACTTTTTCCATGAACTCTACCATTTCCTCGTATCGCTCCGCCTGCTCAGCCAACTTGGCCATGTAAACATTTTCCTCTCGAGATGAATCAGTTAGCGACATCTTTATTATATCAATCTAATGTTTGATCCTGCAATACCAAATGATTTAAAATTTATCAAACATTTCTAACGAATTTTCATTTGTCTAAATGAATGCACCACAGTCGGGAAACCATTTGGAAACATTCTCATTCCTTTGTCCTAAAACATAAATTTTGAACTTTAAGTTCTTCCTATCTTCAAAAATTTTTAACTTTCAGATCAACTGAAAACAGGTACAACCTATCTTCAACATAAATTTTGAATTCCTTTTTGTTGTAGAGTTATTATTATTAGTATTATTATCATGTTGTGTATATTTAGCAATTACATAATAAAACTTTTTTTTCTTCTGAAAATAGCATAATAAAACTTGCACCTCTTAGATGGGCACGATTGTATGCATACTCAGGAGAGTGTGGCGCAGACGGATTAAGACTCGTTAACCCGACTAAATTAATAAAAAATTTACTCGATAAAATATTCTCTCCTAAAATCGACTGATTCATGATAATATAATTTTTCAAAATATTTGGTTGAGATTTCTAATTCATCATTCTTGACGTTTAAAGGCTCGATATACATTTGTTATTTAATTTGGTGCTTGTTTTTTTTTTTCCAAATTTGGTTCATGAATTTATTAAATATTATATATTTGGAATTTAATTTGATAAGTGTATCAAATGTGATGCTTATATTGTTTAGTTCAGGTGTGATACTTGAATTTAATAAATATTATACATTTCAGTATTTAAATGCATTCGTGATCATGACGTAGTTGTCATCATTTTATTGATTGTTAAAAAATTAATGTCGTTACAATTTATATGTCATGTTATCAATGGACATATAATATCATATGTTAAATACAAGTATCACTTATTAATTATCAATTAGATTAAGGATATGAAGTATTAGACCGTTAAATAAGATTTAAATTTTGATATTATAAATGAAACAAATTAAATTACAAAATCACTATATAATGAGTATTTATAACATCTGGTCTGAATTTATGACAAATTTATTAATACTTAACAATTATAATAAAAATATAAATATCACGTCAGAAAAATATTCAACTAAGTGCCACATTAGGCAAAAGTCAAATATTATATGTAAAATAATTATTATTTGATATAGTGATAGTAAAAGAAAATCTAGCAGCAGATAAATTAATAATTATTCATTAAATTGGGCGCGATAGAATGAGAACATAAAAATCTCTGGGGCAGAGAAAATGTTAAAAGAAGAAGAAGTTGGTGGTTAAAGGTTGAGTAGGCGACACCTAAACCTTTTGTCTTTAGTGTCGTACAATTATTTCTTCCATTCAAAGTGAAAAATCCCTCCATAAATTACCTTCAGGGGGTGCTTAAATCAAGGAAAAATTTATTATCAAATCTTTTCTGAATCACATATTTTTGTTTGGTTCAAAATCATTGTCTCAAAGGGGCAACAGAGCATTATCAACAGCACTATTATTTTTTGTTTTTTGCTTGGATTCCTGTGAACCTATTCCCTCGTCCATATTACGTATTTAACAACTCTTATTGTATATTTAGTTCACATAATGTAAGATTATTATTAAAAATAAAAGATTATCAGAGAATATAATTACTGAGAATGTTGTATTTTATGTTTGGTTGATTTAGTAGGAATGTAGGATTACCGTGTTTGGTTAAAAAAATAAAAGATTATTGGAATGTATATTTTACTAAATTGTCCTTATTATATATTTATTTTTTAACAAGTTGAATTCTATTATAATATTACTATAATTAATTTATATATATTCTTTAAAAAATTAAATTCATAAAATTTATATAATTTTTTTACAAAATTAAAATGATAAATAGGTTTAATAAAAGGGTAAAATTTTATTTTAACCCCTGAACTTCATATAAAATTATAATTATAGATTTTTTTTGTAAATCTAAAATAGTTTAAGGATAAATTTGTAATTTAACCTTCGTAGAATTTTTATTATTCAACGACAGAAGAATGATGATTTTGAAAAAATAAGTAAGGGCATTTTAGTCCAAAACGCCGGTAATCCAACAATACCTAAGGGAAGGGAGGTAATCACATTCCCGGTAATATACTCCAAAAAATCACTGTCGGCAATAAAATATTACCGGGAATAAGATTACCGGCCAACCAAACGGGAGAATGTGGATTTCATTTCCCCTGTAATAGGATATTACGTGAACCTAACGGGATCTTATGATTCTGGATGAAATTACCCCTAAAATAATTGAATAATTTTAAAATTATAATTTTTTATTCTTTTAAATTTGGTAATAAATTCTATGAATTTAGATTTTATAAATAAAAATATATAAATTAGAAATAATGAAATAATATATTTTTTATAAATATTTTATTTTAATATTAAGAATTCAATTTTTTTTAAATATATATCACATAAACAATTTGGTAAAATATATATTTTAGTAATCTTATATTTCTTTAATCAAACACTGTGATCTTACATGCTGTCAAACAAACTAAACAAGATAATATAACATTCTTAGTAATATATAAGTAATGCAACATTCCGATAATTTTATTACTACCTCTAAATAATTTATATATTTTATTCCTATATTTGCTGTCCCACTTTCTGTATCAAAATATTTTTTTTACCTCTCCTCCCAAACTCCATAAATGTGATGGTGATTGGTGACATCATAAAAGGAGTAGACATGCTTTTAAATAAATTTAATCACATATCATTTATTTTTTTATTAATTTAAATTAAATATAAAATAATATATATTCTAAATATTTTTTAATTATTTGATAATGAAGTTTAAAACATCATTGTAGTTTGTGGTACTCGAACTTAAAATCTTTAGGTATCAATTTAAGTATCAATTTGAATCAAAAATAAAACTTTAAGTATCAATTTAAATCAACATGTCAAGATCGTGTATCTAATTGGACCAAAAAAACTATAGATAAAAAAAATTAAACCTTAAAACTAAGTTCAAACATCTAAATATTAAAAATGCTAAAGAATAAAAAATTAAATCCAAGTCACTTGAGTTAGACTTCGAAAAATCTCGTTTCGTTCATCGTCAATAGGGAGATCGATGTCAATGAATGAAGATCGGTGCGATTAGAGCTTGGTCAAATTCTAAACAGGATAAAATTAGGAGGGAAGAAAAAGAGTTAATGAGATAAAGAAGAAAATTGAAAGAAAATGAGAATAAAATAATTTATGTAATCCTCTAAAATAATAATTATATACCGAAAGAATGTTGTTTTGATCATATCATTATTTTGTAGAATTGATATCCACCTCAAATTAACATTTAATAGCTAATAATCCAATGAATCGACAATGAATTTAAAGTTTATTCATATTTGATGGAGTTAACCTAAATAAATAATGGGTGATCTAATACTAGTTTTATGATAAAAGTAGATCACATTAGTATTGTTCTGTGTTTGAAAGTATAATGTTTATTGCCATTTCACCTCATGCATGTTGATGTTTGACACATTAGTATTTATCTCAGTATGGGAATATCTGTGTAGGCATTACCATATATGCAGGCACTGTAATGAATTGAAGACTGTCATCAAAGGAGGAATATATTGTTTCCATGCATTCATAACACACTGGAGAGTCTTATGCATCATGTATGCGTGACTTTAGGTAACGTACACCCTACCAAAGCTCAACCTGGAAGTCTTTAAATCATCTTCTGTTGTATATATTTAATTAAGTTTTTCTTTGTAATTAACATCATGTGTCCCTGTGATAATTTTATTTCTCAAAATCGGAACTCATAACATGACTAAAGCCTCTTCCGATGTCATTTTATTAAAAACTCTAAATGGCAATGAAACATAGCAGCAAAATAGAAACTGAAACACTCAAACACAACAGTGTTAACATCAGACACAAGAGTAACATACAAACCCCAAAAAAAACAAGGAAAAAAAGAAAAGAACAAGAAGAAAAAAAAGGAAGGAAGCTTCCAAAACGGTGAGCCCCAGCCTAAACAATGATTGCTACCAATCCAACATAACATAGGAACAAGAACAAATTATAAAGCATGCACCACTAACTTAACCTAGGACTAAGACACCTATATGGAAAGCGGGGATAAGATCAATGGTGGTAGATCTAGAAATATTTTTTTAGGGTGGACACATATATTAACCATATAAAAATTTTGTGTATGAGTTGATACAAATAAATTTTCAAATGGACATAATCAATAAAATGTGCAATTAACAACAGAAAATTCAGATTTCAAAGTACGTCTTTATCTACCCTACCTAGACCTTGGATCCGCAACTATAGGATCAAAGGGGTGCTAAAGTGATGTGGTGATGTCAAGACCTGTGCATTGTGTAGTAATGTTTTTAGGAGTAAAGATGGTAACAAAAATCTATCCATTGGTAGAATTCATTTAATGCAGTACTGACAATCCATATGGTCTTTATGCTCATCAATCCTCAAAACGAAATGGAAATTCTACCCCTATTTAAGACAAACCACATCAAAACGTGTATGATTACTAAATAAAATTATATTGTCGAGAAAAAATATGAAAATTCTCTTCTAGCACAACTCTCTGCATTTGTATATAGCCTAGGTTTTGGTTTCAAGGCTATGGTTTGGCTAAGAAATTATGTTCAAGTCTCGGATTATATTAAAAATAAGTTTTTCCTGTGATACACTCCCCTCGGCCCTGTTGAGTCTTGCTCTCAGACAAAACTGCTATAAAATTTTATGCACAACACAGCACAATGGCTAAAGAGAATTCATCATTCACTAAATGCATACTTTTAAGCTTAAAACTATGGACATTTCATATATAATTTCCACAAGATTAAGTTTGTTTAATTTTGAGATTGCTATAAGGAGTTCTATGATCCAATCCTGTCTGCACTTTAATGCTATGACATACAAAACTGGATTAAAAGATTTTTGGGTTTCTTTCCAACAAGCACAATGTGGCAACTTATAGGATCTACTGTGGCGTAGCATGCATGCATATTATAGATACATTAGCTTCTTCTATCAACTTATTTGCATATAAATTGAAACTATTTAATAAATACCCTTTATAAGGAATGGAGGGTGATTAGATCAATTCACAAAATTGTCAAAAACATGAGCCCTTAATTTATAATTTTCTACACATGTTTTAGTGTAAAAAATTGTATATGCACAATGACACCTACATGCCATGAATTTCGTACTCTACAGGAACAAATTAAATACATGAAGATTCTTAACTCAGATGAATTAAAATCATTTTTCTCATATGTAACACCCCAAACATCGAGTTAGTGACTAAAGTGTAAGGATTTAAAAGTTAACGATAAAATTTGATAAACTGAAAAGTTCAAGGACTAATTTTGGGAATTATTGTTTAGGACTTATTATCAAAGGTTGAAGGATTGAAGGGTAAAATGGTCTTTTGATAAGAAATGGATTAAAAATTCATTTTTAAGGGTTATTTAACACGTGATCAAGGGAGAAAGAAAGAAAGGAAAACTCTGGAAGCTTGCTCCTCTCTTCTTCTCTTCCCCATGAACCTCCATGCTAAGGTAAGAGATTTAAAAGTTGATTGTTTCTTTCATTTCTGAGTTGATTTTGGTTCTTTGGGTGATTTAGAAGCTTAAGCCTAAGGATGAATTGAAACTAAGAGATTAAGGATTTAATGGTGATTTAATAAAATGGTTTTTTAGGAGAATTGATTTAAATTGACAGTTTTTTGATTTTTTAAAGATATATTTGACTTGTCAAGGGTTTAATTAAGGGGATAGAAGTGTTAGAAAGGATTAAGAACAAGTTTGGATAATTGATATGATTTTTAGTTTCAAGAGTTTCATGGAGAAATTGGGGTGTTAGAGGGGTTTTAATAGATATAAGTTAGTTGTAATAACTGTAAATGAGTTTAAAGGCATGAATAGAGTCTAAGTAGAAGATTTTAATGAAGTTGGGTAAAATTTTGAAGGGAAATAGATGAATAATGGGTTAGGGTATCGGTACTGGAAGAACAGTACCTATACTATAAGGTTAAATTGAAGGAAATAATATGAATTGAATAAACAGTATCAATATTGGTTGAAGAAGTATCGATACTTATATGAAGGTATCGATACCAAGGATAAGGTATCAATACTGTAAGTAAAGAAGAAATTCCAGAATGTCGAATTGGTATCGATACTAGAGTAAGTATCAGTACACTATAAGAGAAGTATTGGTACTACAGGTAGAGTACCGATATTATTCATGCTGAAATACTAAATTCGACGTTTCATTGTGAATAATTTGGTCCGTGAAGAGCCAAATCTTAAAAATTTGTTAATGTAAATGATTTGAATTATGACTTTATCTTTTCTAATAATTTGATATATTTTGTTTACGAAGTCTGACATGAAATGATATATAGATTTAAACATAATACTATGGGATATACTATGTAAAGGTTTTTACATGAAGATGATATGTGAAAATGTTTACATGAAGATGTTCTATACGAAAATAATCTATGTGCTCAGCAAAAGTGATATGCGTGAAAGTGAACCATAGGTGAATGTACTTTATGAGAATAAGAGACTTAGCGTGTGTTTGTTTGCACACGTAGGATCCGAGCTTCGAGAAGTACGTTGAATATGCAAGAGCAAGACAACATACTGGTGAGAATTATTAGATCAGAGAGAAATTTTGAATTGTATAAGTATTGATTTTGAAATGTTGTTGGCATGTACTAATTATGTTCTAAATTGTAGATGCTATGATGTGTTTTAATTTTTTTCCCAATAAAAGTCAAATTTTAGTTAAAACTCTCAAAGAGTCAAAGAGTTGAAAAGTCAATGTGACACCTCATAGTCGTATCTGGGTCGAGTACGAATCGAGGTGTTACATCATATTTTTCACTTTTATCTCTGCATCATTTTTCAACTTGAAGATTTACTAAAGGTTTCATAGTTCACTACTCTTCTAACTGGTTAAACGGTTATCAGAGAAAATGACTTAATATTGTTAACTCTCCCTACAAGTTAGTTTATTTTTAATTTGTTGACTAAACCATGATAGAGTGACAAAAGTTAACATTAATTTCGGGTTCGATCCTTGAACCATCTCTTCCTCTTATAAAACTAATCATTCTTAACCCCAGATATCCGTTGATTAACCATTTTCCAGATGGTTCAATACATATTTCATCGTTGTCATCATCTGGTATCTTAATTAGGTCATATATCATAATTAAATCTTTCTCATCATTTGGTTCAAGGAAAAAGCTAAAGTGCCGCTGCCAAAATTAATATTAGATAATTATCTCATAAAAATCATTAGCCAAAATAAGAGTATGGTACAAGAGGTTCCATCCAATGAATTCTGTACTGTAATTTAACGAATGGATTCTCGAGTACTTGAGACAAATTTAAGCCCAACTTCATTTACATGCTGTCCGCTAATCATCAACAGAAGCATAGTGATGGAAACCTAGAGAAACAACCAAGCTAGTAGAGAAAAGGATATATGGTTCAAGATCAGCAATTGAGTTGAGAGGTTCAAAAGAAAAGCAAGCATTCAAAGAGTTTTATTTCCTCCATCAAACCTTAAATAAAACAACAAATTGAAACTGTAGCTTACATCTTCGATGCTCATGCGCTGCATATAAGCACTATGGTCCTTCGTTGCAAGTAAAGCAGGCCTCTCAGGGTTTTCCATATAGTCGAACTCCTGAAAATCAAGACTGAAATCGATTAATTGTATGTGAATGAGATAATCAGATGTATGAAGGGCCTCATATATATGTGTGTGTTAGTGTGTATGTGTATATATGTTCTTGGATGGTACCTGTTGAGAGGTCGACATTAGTTATAGCACAAAGGGTAGAGTGCCGTTTGTACCATTAGTATCCCAATTCTGGGACAAATTGGGAAGCCATTACTGTCAAAGCTGTTGCAGCAGTTTGCATCCTTTGAAGTTGCAAGGCTTTGCTGATAACCCAAAATTGTAGATGGCTTCAACATCCTTCTGATTACTATAGATTTTCGATGACATTTTCTCTGATGCTGCACTAGGTTGTTCAACTTGATGAGCAACGACTTTAAAGGAACGATACCATGTTGTTGTGGCCATAAACTAAATGATCTGCAGGTATCTTGGATGTTTCAGTTGGGTCAAGAACTCAATGGGTGAGTGCTTGAATCTGAACATATTTTCCACTCATTAGCACTGTTCATCTTTTCTCTAGTTCTTTCCCTTGCTCTTGCCCTTGCCTTTGCCCTTGCCCTTGCCCTTGACTCTTTAAGAGGGGTTGCCGCTAATTTCTGTAACTTTTTCTCTTTTGAAACAACACCCTCTAGCTCAAGTGAGTTGCTTTCTCCTCCATCGAACAAACACTCGATTCTTAGCCATCATTTCGTGCTGATCGTCATCATCAAGACAAGAGACAACCTCTTTTGACCACCGACAACCAACATTCCCGTATTGCTTCATCTTCGTCAGCTCTTAATGGCGTTCCTCGATTTCCTAAGCACCACTCAACGTTTTGCTAGCTTTATCAACCCTAACATATCTTGAAGATCAAAGAAATCGCGGGCGATTTCTATGGACAGCCTCACCCTCCTATCCCTCACCCCTTTCGCAGTGCAAATCTTGCTGTGCCGATCTTTCTTCAGAGCCTTCTTGACGGATAAAACAAACCCCGGACGAAGCCCACCACTAAAATCAAGTACTCCATGGTCCCCGTCCTCGTTCAAAAGCGCCATGTTGAGCAAAGTCTCGTTGAGGTTAAGCTGCTGAGGGTTTGCAGCGGCGGGCAACAATGAAGAAGCCGACACCAGATCATGATGGTGGTGATTAAGGAGGACATTGTCATTAGTTCGTGGCTTAAAGAACTTGGGGAAGATGGAAGATAAGAAAGAAGAAGAAGGAGGAGGAGGAGGAGGAAGGTGAGAAAAAGGGTTGATATTATAGTTGTTAGCTGAGATTGGAAAGAACATCTTTGCTTAGACAAAACTAGTGTTGTTTGAGGAGGAGTTCAGTTGCTTTTAACAAAATTAGAAAAAATGTGGGGATTCGATCTGCGGAAGAAGAATTTAGACATGGACAAAGCAACTGCAGGGAAGACGGGTTCGAGTTGTTTGCCTCGTGTTTCAGAACCACATCCAAACTTAGCTTAGCGAGCTGCTATAAACACACTGAGCGAGACTATTTCACTTTTGGCCGATTTTTTTTCTCCTGAAATTTATGAACGCAGAATGTAACTTTATCTATACGAATAATATTACCGGTGAAAATAAGATTAGTGAGAATATTATATTTTTATGTTTGTTTTATTTAATAGAAATGTAATAATACAGTGTTTGGTTAAAGTAATAAAAGATTATTAAAATGTATAATTTATTAAATTATCCTTATTATATATTTGTTTTTTAACAAATTGAATTCTACTATAATATTACTATAATTAATTGGCAAAATCAACGAGATAATGCGTTGAAAATTTTTTTTTCACGAGATAGTGCCCTCGCCATGCACGCCAGCGACCTACCAGGTCGCCATGCACGCCCAGCGACCTACCAGGTCGCCATGCACGCCCCAACACGCTGGGCATCCGAGACCATCCGACCGAGGCCATCCGAACGAGCTATGCGAGGGCATCCGAGGGCAACCGAGCGAGCTATGCGAGGGAATCCGAGGGCAACCGAGCGAGCTATGCGAGGGAATCCGAGGGCAACCGAGCGAGCCATGTACTCCGGGCGACCTACCCTCGCTCGGTTGCCCTCATACCCTCGCATAGCTCGCTCGGTTGCCCTCGGATGCCCTCGCATAGCTCGTTCGGATGCCCTCACATAGCTCGTTCGGATGGCCTCGGATGCTCTCGGATGGCATCGGATGCTTTCGGATGGCCTCGGTCGGATGGCCTCGGATGCCCAGCGTGTTGGGACGTGCATGGCGACCTACAAAAACGTATCACGCTGGACATTCCAATACAAATGCTAGACTTCATAATTAATCTTTTTTCTCTAAATTCAATAATAAATTTCTATATATACACAACTCTGTTAATCTTAAAAATTAAACAGAGAAACAAAGATGCCTAAAGGTATTATAAATAAATGTAAATAAAATACAATAATAGACCAAAAATGCTTTAAAAATTGAATCTGAAAACACCACACTATTTGATTGCATGGCGACCTACACCTGGTCCTTTGCAAAACACCCCACAGGTCGCTCGGATGCCATGGCGACCTCCAAGGTCGCCCGGATGCCATGGCGACCTCCAAGGATGCCATGGCGACCTCCAAGGTCGCTCGGATGCCATGGCGACCTCCAAGCTCACTGTAGAATTCACCCATTTCAGCAATTAATCTGGGATGTGCATTATCTCGTGGATTCACCCATAATTAATTTATATATTTTCTTTAAAAAAAATTAAATTCATAAAATTCATATTATTATTATTTTTTTGTAAAATTAAAAAGATAAATAGATTTAATGAAAGGGTAAATTTTCATTTTAACACCTGAATTTTATATAAAATTTTAATTATGGATTTTTTTGTAAATCTAAAATAGTTTAAAAATAAATTTGTAATTTAACCTTCATAGATTTTTTTTTATTCAATGACAAAAGAATGATATTTTTGATAAAACAATTTAAGAGCATTTTAGTCCAAAACGCCGGGAATGTAATAATACCTAAGGGAATGGGGTATTCACATTCTCGGTAATATACCCCCAAAATACCACTGTTGGGAATAACTTATTACCGGGGGCTGGGAATGTTAGCCAACCAAATGGGGGAATAACATTCCATTCCCCTGGTAATGTGAGATACCCTGAACCAAACGCCCTTAGGGTGCGTTTGGTTCACGGAATATAAGATTATCAATGGGAATAAAAGATTACCAACGAATATGATTACTGATAATGTTGTATTTTGTGTTTGGTGGGTTTAGCAGAAATGTAAGATTATTGTGTTTGATTAAAGGAATAAAAGATTATTGGAATGTATATTTTACCAAATTATCCTTATTATATATTTGTTTTTTTAACAAGTTGAATTCTACTATAATATTATTATAATTAATTTATATATTTTCTTTAAAAAAATTAAATTCATAAAATTTATATAATTTCTTTTACAAAATTGAAAAGATAAATAGGTTTAATGAAATGATAAAATTTTATTTTAACCCCTGAACTTCATATAAAATTTTAATTATAAATTTTTTTTGTAAATCTAAAATAGTTTAAGGATAAATTTGTAATTAAACCTTCGTAGAATTTTTATTATTCAACGACAGAAGAATGATATTTTTGGGAAAAAAAATTAAGGGCATTTTAGTCCAAAATGCTGGTAATCCAACAATACCTAAGGGAATGGAGGTAATGACATTCCTGGTAATATACCTCAAAAAATCAACTGTTGGTAATAAAAGATTACTGTGGGCTAAGAATGTTGGCCAACCAAACGGTGGAATAAGATTACATTCCGTCGATAATCTCATATTACCTGAACCAAACACTCCTTAAAGGTAATGGAAAGGCTATTACTGATATTTTAATTATATGAGTTTTGTTTCAAATTTTAATTTATTATTTAATATAATGATGTATATAAATAAACATTTTTATACAAATTCTCAATTATTTATATTTCTATACATATATCAAGAGATATTATACGGGAAAGCTAGGAATGGCAACGGGACGAGTTCGGGGCGGTTTTACTCCCCCGTCCCCGCCCCGTTCTCCGTCGGATTTTTTTATCGGGGCGTCCCGTTGGGGATTTCTTTTACCTCATAACCGAACCCGACCCGAAATGTTGTATCCGAACCCGACCCAATCCTGAAAAAAACCGAGCAGCCGTAGTTTTCATAAAAAAATAGAAAAAACAATCACAAAAAAACTGAAAAATTAGTCTACATGATTTACAATTAAAACTATAATCACAAATTCAAACTCAATTCTAAATAATTGTCTAAACTCCAAAATAAAACACATACATAATTAAATACAAACTTGTTCCGATATTCAAATCATACAACGAATATGCATACGTAATATTAAGTCAAAGTGGATAGCAAATACTAAGGGGAAAGTGGGAACTGGGAAACCTAGGTTAAATGTTTTGTTTATATATATATAATTAATATAAAAATATATAAAATATTATATATATATATATATATATATAATCGGGGCAGGGCGGGATACCTTGCCCCGAACCGAACCCGAAAAAATCCCCGAATTTTACCCCGATACCCGACCCGATATTATTCAAACCCGACCCGAACTTAACCGGGTTTCGGATTTCCCCATCGGGTTCGGGTCGTTCTGCCATTCCTAGAAAAACCTATGATCAAATATTAGAAGGGACAATATACTTAGTTCAAAATAATATGAACTTATTACATATTATTTTAAGAAACTAAAGAAGTAAAAATCTAATTTTACATAAATTTAAACTTATAAGAACCTAAAATGTTATTCAATCAAAATTTTGGGAGACGTTCTTTATATACATTTGTCTATGATATTCCGTGTTTATTTATGTTGTAACTCATATTCTTTTACATATAGTAATATTGTAATCATATAAGTGAAATAAAATTAATATAAAACTTTTAACTTAAGATCTGACATGTCAAATTATCAATAATTATAAATAAAATATGAAAGTGTATTTGAATGTATTATAAAGAAAATATTCTCGATATTATAATGTTGATCTTTTAAATTAGTACACAATTATATGTAGAAAACACTTCGGGATCATCTAATAAATAACTTAACATGTTAACCTTAATTTTTAATAAATATTAATATATGCACATACGTGTCAAATTAAGCTTAACTGCATAAGATTATTTCAATATCTTTTACAACAACAAATAACATAAAATTATTTGTTTATTATATTTTCCATGTTCATATAATTCATCATTCAATAATATCAATAAATTAAAACTCAATTAATAATTATTTTTTGTAATGTTGTTAAAATTTTAATCTTATGTTTATTTTTAAAAGATGTGTCTACTTAGTGTAAAACTCAATGAGTTTTACATGAATTTTTCTAGGATTAATATTTTGAACAATTAATTGTATTAATCATACATAAAAAACAATTTAATTGCATTAAAAATTAAGTCTAATATCAACGATTAATTGATCTAATATTTTAAGACGATAAATCATTTAAATATGATTAAAAATTTAATTCATGAACCAATGAATAAAATAAACTTAATTAGTAATATTATATACAACTGAAATAAACTTGTATAATATTCAATTTTAATTAATCAAACTGAATCAATGTCAATTATTATAACAAAAACAAGAAGTGAAATAGAATATAAATTTATATAGACAGAAGACAATAAATTAAATACAAAATGGAGAATAAATCAGGGACTAAAGGTCGGGAGTGGGGGGACTGTAGCAGTCATTTCACACTTTTAAACCCGTTAATTCAGATTTTAGACCATCTCTTGCGCTTTTTCAAGTCTTTTCAATGTCAGCCTTTTCCATCTTTAAATGGTTGCGGTTATTTTTTTTTCAAGTCTTCCAAGTTATAAGAATTCACTTTCAATACACACGATTTTAGTCACTTATTTGATTTTTACATATTATATATATCAAATTATAATTCTTTTCGCTGCCCTCTCGGTTGTCAATATTTCGGGAAGTTTTACTGTGTGAAACTTTAATATAATGTTAAAATAAGGTATTATCGATTTTTTATTGTTTAAATAATAAAATTGATAAAAAATTATCGGTAATATTATTATTTTATCTAAAACATTATTTTTTAATATTTTCGGTCATTTTTAGCGTCTAATAATATTTTCGGTTATTTTTTAGCGCCTAATAATTTTTCCGATCATTTTTTTTCAAAAATCTTGTTAAAACGCCTAATAATAACAAAATCGGTATTTTTTAGAGCATAATAATGTTTTCGATCATTTTTATCGGTTTTGTTATTT